CCCTGCCATCTCTACAAAAAATAAAGAACAAAAATTAGCTGGTCATGGTGGCAAGCACTTGTTGTCCCAGCTACTTGGGAGGTTGAGGTGGTAGAATCACTGAGTCAGCCAGGCATGGTGACTCACGCCTGTAATCCTAGCACTTTGGGAGGCAGAGGCAAGAGGATTGCGTGAGCCCAGGGATTCAAGGCCAGCCTGCACAACTTGGTGAGATCTCATCTCTACAATAAATCAAAAAATTAGCCGCACGCCTATAGTTCCAGCTACTTGGAAGTATAAGGTGTAAGGATCACCTGAGCCCAGCAGGTTGAGGCTGAGGTGGTCATAAGATGCCACTGCACTCCAGCCTGGATGACAGAGTGAAACTCTGACTCAAAAAAAAAAAAAAGAATCACCTGAGTCCCGGAATTTGATGTTGCAATGAGCTATGATTGTGCCACTGCACTATGGCCTGGGCAACAGAGCAAGACCGTGTCTCTTTAAAAAAAAAATTCTGGTCAGGCTCAGTGGCTCAGCCTGTAACCCCAGAACTTTGGGAGGCCAAGGTGAGTGGACTGCCTGAGCTCGCAGGTTCGAGATCAGCCCAGGCAACTTGGTGAGACCTCGTCTCTACAAATTTTTAAAAAATTAGCTGGCTGGGGTAGCACGTGCCTGTGGTTCCAGCTTCTTGGAAGGCTGAGGTAGAAGGATCACTGGAGCCCAGCAGGTCAACACTGGTGTGGCCATGAGCATGCCACCATACTCCAGCCTGGGTGATGGAGTGAGACTCCAACTCAAAAAAAAAAAATCCTTTATGGTGATTTTAGGGTATTTTTTGTGAAAGCATTAAGGTGTATATAAATATACTGAATCTATTTTTTTTTCTTTTTTGAGTAGGCATGCTCATGTCCACAACATTCTTGACCTGCTGGGCTAAGGCAATCTTTTTGCCTCAGTCTTACAAGTAATTACAACCACAGGTGTATACCACCACACCCAGCTAATTTTTTAATTTTAGAGACAAGGTCTCACTAAGTTGCCCAGGCTGGTCTCGAACCCCTAGACTCAGGCAATCCTCTTGCCTCCGCCGCAAGCTGGGATTACAGACATGAGCCACTGCACCCAGCTTAACCTATCATCCTTTATTTATTTATTTTTTTTTTAGTTGTAGTCTCACTCTGTTGCCCAGACTACAGTGGCATGTTCCTGGCTACCATAGCCTCAACGTGCTGGGCTCCAGCGATCCTTCCATCTCAGTCTTCCAAGTAGCCGGAAGTACAGACTACCAAGCCTGGCTAATTTTTTTTGTTAATTTATTGTAGAGACGAGGTCTCGTCAAGTTGCCCGGGCGGGTCTGGAACCCATGGGCTCAGGCAATCCATTCGCCTCAACCTCCCAAAGTGCTGGGATTACAGACTGAGCCACCAAGCCCGGCCTAACCTACCATCTATAACTGGAAGTCTATCATTATTTTTCAAACTTGAGAATTCAGACTCCCAAGAACATCTTTAGATACCAGTTGAAGACACACTACATTAATTGTTAAATATTATCATTTTAGGCCACAAACATATTGAATTTGGCTTTCCTAGTACTTTAAAAATAATTTAAATCAATCAAGTTTTAAAAACCTAGAGATTTACATAAAAGTCCAAATTCCCAGTTTCTTTTCAAAATCAGAAGATCTGGCAAATATAGGTCTTAATTGACCAGATCTAGATAACTGCAACACAAGATCTACAGGTTGTCACAGTCATATGTTGTCCACCTCACTGCTTGGTCCATGAAGACAATTTGAGTTTCTGGCTTCTGCCTCGGTGCTAATGCAAATTTACTCAGATACATAAGATAGGCACAGATATCAATCACATGGCTGTAGTCAATAATGAAAAGTCATCCAGATAATGCAAAATATTACTATAGTAACTTTTTTGGATACCAATAAAATAAAAACAGAAAATTGCAAAATTCTTTTTGAGAACTCATAACTATTTTTGTTTGTTCATTTGGAGACATAGTCCCACTCTGTCGAGGTGGACACACAGCCTCGGCCTTCTAGGCTCAAGTAATCATTCTGCCTCAGCCTGCCAAGTAGGTGGGATTACAAGCATGTGCCACCCGGCCCAGCTAATTTTGGTGTTTTTTTGTAGAGATGAGGTCTCACTCTGTTGCCCAGGCTAGTCTTGAATTCCTGGCCTCAAGTAATCCTCCCACCTCGGCCTCCCAAAGTGCTGGGATTACAGGCTGAGCCACCAAGCCCGGCCCCAGATTAGTTTTAAGGGCTTTCAAGGCCTTTCCATAATTTGTTTTAGTCAGAGTCTCCTTCTGGAGTGCAGAGGCATGATCATAACCAACACAGCCTCAACCTGCTGGGCTCAGGTGACCCTTCCGCCTCAGCCTTCCAAGTAGCTGGAATTATAGGCATATGCCACCGTACCAGGCTAATTTCTTGATTTATTGTAGAGACGAGGTCTTACCAAGTTGCCCAGGTTGCTCTAGGCTCAGATAATCTTTTTGCCTCTGCCTCCCAAAGTTCTGGGATTATAGGTTTAAGGCACCACACCCAGCTTCCTATCCATAACTTCTTGTGTACACTCTGTGGCTTTAGTGAGCTTGCTTGCTGGGTGATAAAATCCTGGTGGCATTATTTCCAGATGACACACAAAATACCAAGGACTTCTAAACCATGGTTAGCCAGCCCAGAGTTGCCCATGGAATTTTTCCCTGTACCTTGGAAGTTTCTTGCAAGTGTTTGAATAATTGAAGATATTAATCATGCCCACTCTGCCCAAGATATATCCCTGAGTGATCTTGCCAAACTTTGTTCATGATTTTCATGGTTTGGCACACTACCTGGCCCAGCTTCGATTTTCCCAGGGGTAATCCTGGGAGAGATTCAAAAGCATTGCTGAAGACATTGTTAGGGTCAGGCTATTGTTTTTGTGCCCAGTTTCCTTTCTTTGGTAAACTTACCTTGAGGATGATCATTTTCCAGAGCTAGGGAGCTATCTGAAGAAGTGACCTGGAAAGACAAGAGAAATGAATTCAGCTTAACCCAGGCTCCATCCACTTTAGCTTAGCAACATTAGGGAAAGGGCTGGTGAACTGTAACGACTTCCTTTAAAGAACTATTAAGGCCCTTCAGAAATCAATTTAATCTACATGACAACCTGAAATAAATACTATTATTAGCCTTATTTTCACAGATCAGGCAACTGAGGACCAAGACACATTAAGTAACCTGTCCAAGGTCATGTGGCTGGTAAGGGATGGAGCAGGGATTTAAACATCTATCTGTTTGGTTCCAAACTTATGCACGTTCTTATATATTACACTGTCTAAAAAGTGAAGACCAAAAGCTCTAAGGATGGGGCTAACCCCTACAAAAGTCTTACAGATCTGCTTTATTAAAACATGGATGCCAGAGAGATAATGTTGTCTTCCCCCAAACACTCACTAGGCATAGTTGTGGACCCTAGAACTACAGACATACCCCTTACCATTGAGAGAGGCCCACAACTTGGGGGGGTCCCATTAGCTGACAGTAAGAGAGTTAAAGCTTGACTGAGGGGGTTGTTAAGGAGCCTGAATTTTCTGAAACTGGAGGCTTGAGTCCTCTCAGCACCCTTGTGAGTCAAAGGCTACTATATAGCCCAGGGAATGCTTGGTTTTCCAAGTTTCCTTTCCCAAGATAGTCTGAGATTAAAGTGTTTTGAATAGACAAAACTTTAGAAACATCTCTGTGCTCCCTCCAGTGGAATCCTTTGGAAGTTTCACTGTTATCTAGGAACCCATGAGGGATGATGACAATTTTCATCCACTAGCATCAATAGTTTTGAATCTATTTGCTCTGGGTAATATCTCCAAACTAATTAAAGCCATACTTCACCTCCATAGCTTCTGTAGTAACATAAAGTTAAAAGGCCTTGGTTTGAACCTGGGAAGTTGGCTGGCAAACAGGGTCAAGCAGGCAAGACAGCCCTAAACTTGCCCCACCTAATGGACTAGGGAAGAGGGCAAGGGGAAGGGGGATAATCTCCCCTGCTTCCCTCTGGATTATATAAGACTATTAGCTTGGTCTGACATTTTTGGCAAGGCTGTTGAAACAACAACCTCATCACTTATAAGCGGGAGACAGGGCTGGTTAGTGTGAAGATAGACACATGGTTGGTAATCATAGTCTCACAAAGATCTATTCAGAGGCACAAAAACAGCTACTTCCATAGAAGTTACTGTACCCATTATATGATACTTACACACTGTGGTGTGCTACAGTTATTTTGTTCATTATCTATCCAAACAGATTATGCATTCCTGGTAGCCTGTAACTATCTTATACGTTGTATCCCTCAAACCACCTAGCACAGAGTTTTGCATATAATTCACAATTTTAAAAAATTATCTAATAATAATATGAACAGAGAGACCTAAGACTAAGTTACAGGGAGAGAAAAGAGACATATAGTAAAACAGAGATACAGATACCAATATAAGAAAGTCAAATACAACTGAATATGTGACTTTCACTTTCTGCCTGTTTCACCATATGGAGAGGGAATTATGTCCACTCCTCTTTACTTTTAATAACATAGAGAACCTGAAAAAGTACCACTGTACTACATAGGTACAAAATATTACAGAGACACAGGCTACCTCTGACACATACACTCACAATTTCTCCCAAATTCCTGATCCACGTTTCCAATTATTTGTTTGACAACCACAGACATCACACAGACTCCTTAAATGCTTCAATATAAAATGAAAAAACTTTGTCCCCCCCAATCTTTTTACTCTTATTGTGGTTCCCATCTTTTTTTTGCATTGCTGCCTTCCCAGATGCCCAGAACTGCATACTTGATACCTCTACTCTTTTTTTTGAGTTGGAGTGTCTCACTCTGTCACCCAGACTGGAGTGCGGCGACATGCTCCCGACTACCGCAGCCTTGATCTGCTGGGCTCCAGCGATCCTTCCACCTTAGCCTTCCAAGTAGCCGGAACTACAGGTGTGCACTACCACACCTGGCTAATTTTTTTTTATTTATTGTAGAGACGAGGTCTCGCCAACTTGCCCAGTGGGTCTCGAACTCGTGGGCTCAGGCAATCCACTTGCCTTGGCCTCCCAAAGTGCTGGGATTACAGGCTGAGTCACCGAGCCCGGCCGATTCCTCCATTCTTAACATGTAACAAGCCAGTCGAGTGGCTCACACCTGTAATCCTAGCACTTTGGGAGTTGGAGGCAAGAGGACTGCCTGAGTCCAGCCTGGGCAACATGACGAGACATTGTCTCTACGATAAATAAAAAAATTAGCTGGGCATGGTGGCTCACTCATGTAGTTCCAGCTACTTGGGAGGCTGAAGCTGAAGGATCGCCTGAGCCCAGTAGGTGGAGGCTGCGGTGGCTGTGAGCATGCCACTGCACTCCAGCCTGGGTGACAGAGTGAGAATCCTACTCAAAAAAACAAAACAAAAACGTTATCAGCTGAGCTGAGACGCTAGCGGTGCCTCAAATCCATCTCTCTTTCCACTTTCATAGCTTTCATTTAGGCTTTTACTTCTCACTTCTGCAATACTGTCTAAGCTGGTCTTTCTGTCCCAAACCTATTTCCTCTTCAGTTTATCTTTTATGCTTTTACCAAGTTTGCACAGCAAAGTATGTAAGGTTTGGAAGGGACTTTCATCTCCAGCAACAAGAAACTGTACTTTCTGAAGTTCATGTACTGAAAGCTGTTATGAACATTCCTAAAGTCACTCCCTGCCTTGCTCATAAATCTTCCGCGGGTCCCTATAAACAAAGTTCCAATTTAGCATGGTGTGCAATACTTTCAACCTGACCTTAGCCTACTTTTCCAGTCTTTTCTCCTACTGTGACCAAAATCCAAAGCTCCAGCAACATCAAACCACAGGTTCACTCCCAATTCTTCTCTACATACCCCAATTTCTATGCCCTTGTTCATACTGTTCTCTCAATCTGCAATGCCTCTCCTAGGTCCACAGTAATTTTTCCCTCCTCTATTCTGTCACAGCCTTTTGTTTGTATTTTGATGACAGCATTTATTACAGTCTACTATAAATAACAGTTGACTTGTTGCTGGCTTGCCCTCACTCCCACTCCAGGCCCAGCATTTTCAAAGCAGGAGTTTTCGTCGTCTTCTTTTTAAAACAATTTCTACTCCAGAACCTAATCCAGTACATAAAGTGCAATGGCTAGAATAGAAAATCTATATAAAATGGTTTACAAACCATAATACATTTATAAGTAAGCAGAAAATGATACATTTTAAATTTAATGGAATTAGACACTTTATTCATTCTCAAAATTCTCTTATCCATAGGACTCTCTTGTCTGGGTGACTAACTGCAAATCACTTTACCACTTTGGTCTGTTTTCTTTTTTATAGCCTGAGGGACATGACCTCTGTGTCGGCAGACAGAAAGGGTTGTGACAAAGAATTACTCTGGGCATGTCACTGATTCAAAGCAAAGTGAACCTGCATTCTTTTACAGACAGTAGCAGCAGGTGATAAAAACCAAGATGGGAGTTACTCTGCCGGATAAAGGATACACAGTTAAAACTGTAGAAAGAGAAAAGGTTGGGAGAGATTCCAGAGTGCTAAAAAAGGCTCCTGAGAGTGAGAGTGGGTCCAAACATATAGCAGGCAAACTGCAGCATCTGTGAAAAGGTGACAGGGACCTACCAAAATTGGTCAATGCCTGCTCGCCAAGAATGAGCTACGCCAAAACGCCTGCTTAGGAGTCCCAGAGCAGGACACGACCTAAACTTGTCCAAGGGACACAGTGGCCTCTAGCACTGAAAAGATTTCTCCCTTCAGACAAATCCGGATTCTCGGTCTTATTAAGGGAATGTGACCTCGTTGGATGCAGTATGAAAGTCTTCAGATGTTCCTCCTGCCAGGGATCGCAGGGAGCACAGTCAGACCACCCGGGTGCAGGAGCTACCTGCAAGTTGGTATCCCTCCGGATCCCCTGCCTCACCCAGTAAATCCGGATCACAACCCCGCTCTCTCAAGCAAATCTCTGATAGGGCTTGAGGTGCTAAGAGAAAAGGAGGCCCGAGATTGCCAGGGCTTAAGTGGGCTACAAGGAGGGGAGTCAGGAGTCACTGCTCGCTCGGGCTGAAGGTACCGCGGAAGGAAAGAAGGCAGGGGCGCGGCCCAGTCCTAGGAGATGCGACCAACGAAGAAGCGGGGAGCCAGGGTCACAGAATAGGACAGACACCCGGCTGCTTCTAGTTTTCTAGACACCGGCACCAGCCCCTGCCGGCCCTCCCCGACTCCTAATGCGGGGGGGGGGGGTCTCCGGCTCCACAGCGCCCCCGGCCGCCCTCCTGGTCTCCTCACCGTCTCCATCGCAAAAGGCGCCAGCTTGGTTCGCTTGCTTTAGGAAGCTCGCTTGGGGCAGACCCACCCACATCCGGTGCCGCGACGCCACTTCCGCTCACGTCACAGCAGAAGCAAAACTTGAGTGGAAGGCGGGGAACCCACCCTTCCGGCGGTGGGCTGGCCTTGGTAACCGCCCTCCCCCGGGTCTTGGCGGACCTCACAGATCCGGGAGATGGCGAGGGTCACAGGACGGAGCCGCTTGTATTTAAAATGTTCTTTTTTTATTTATCGTTTAAAAACAAACTTGGAAGAAGCAAAATCCAAAACTTGCCCTTTGCCTCTCGCAACATAAATTATGTACAGTTCAGAATGACCGCTGATACAAAACATGCCAAGGACAGGGGCGCTGGGGGTGGAGGGAGAGGGCACTTTAAAAAAGGGAACCATTTCATCCGTTGTTACGAAGGACCAACCTTGCTGTACAGGATACACACAACACAAAATAAAGTCTTCACGGGATTCACACTTGTCAGCGATTTATTTTTTAAAAAGGGGGAGGGTCCTGGAGGTGAGGGGAGAAGACTGTAAAGGGGAAAACTGAAAATTGAGTATGTGCGAGTGTAAACCAACCCAAAATACAAACATGGGGGAGGGGGGATTTCTGATGCAATTATACAGGCAGGGTACTTAAAAAAACCAACAACCAAAATTCCAACCTTGTAGCTTGGGTCTGAGTTATAGTTTATATAAAAATTAAAAACTGTATAAGGTTTCTTCACTAAATTCTACAGGACTATCGGATACCTAGCATATGCTTACAAAGTCTGCCCCATCCCCTTTCCCAATCCCAGGGCCCAAGCCCCAACCAGAGCCTGACTCACAGGAGCCAATCTCCCCCTTCCTGTAGCCTAGACCTTTTACTCTCAGAAAAGGAACATCCAAGGGCTGTGGCTTTGGGGGCAGCAGCCCAGTTTCCCTACTGTCTGATTTAATTACAGCGGTTTCTGTGGGAGTGGGAGGTGTTATTCTCTTAAACATTTGCAGCTTGAAACAGTTGAGGAAGCAGCTTTAAAAAAAAAAAAAAAATCTCCCTACCCCCAACAATCCACAACCCCCAAATTCAAAACAAAAACAAACCTAAAATCACAACAGCGACCGAGCTCCCCCTCCAGCAGGCCCGCCCATCCGCCACCACCAAGCCCACCCCTACACTTCAGACATTTGATTTTTGAAAATATTAATTACAAAATGCCCTTTGCCCACAGCCCCTAGGAGAGAACTGCATATAAGCTTCATCTTCACCCCCACGGTTCCCTACCAGAGAGGGGTTTGGGGCCTCACCCACCCCCTACCTACCCCCACCCCCAGGAAGAGGTTCAACTGCAGCACAAGCTTGGGCAGAAAGGGGAAGGAAAGGGAGGCAGGGAACCCATCACCCTCTGGCTCCCCCTGGGGTCAGCTCACTTTTGTGCGTTATAACATAGTCCAACTATACAACAGGGGGTGGGAATCGCCCAGCTTCTATACCCCCATCTTACAGCAGTCACAGCCAGGGGGTGGGGAGTGGGGGGGTAAGGAAAAAGGGCGGTAGGTTGGGTAATGGAGGGGGCCCCCCCACAAGGGGAGCTCCATGTGTCCGCCCCATGCCCCCCTACCATTTATAAACTGGTTTTGTAAAAAGAAAATAGATATATTTATATAGAATATATAAAGCACAAAAATTAGTAGTTTTACATTTGCTCTCCCCGGGGGTGGGGGGAGAGGGGAGGGTTCTCACCTCCAGCCGGCTCCCCCATGCCCCACAAGACTATGTACAATCCCATGTATAAATAGATAAATACCCCCCACCCTCCCCGCGCTGACACTAAGCTCCCCCACCCCCACATCACCACCCCTTCCCACCAGACCAGCAGCAGTTTGGTGACTGAGGGAAAGTGGGAGCTCCGGGCCACACCCTGCCTCACTAGGTATGGGCATGCCACTCAGGGATAGCCCTCACCCTACCCCCCAACCACCCCATCCAGGGGCTGGAGGGCAAATGAGCTTATGATGGGGTTGGAGAACAGGAGGGAGGTATCCTGGTCCTAGGTTTAGCATATCCCTCCTGCCGCCATGTCCAGATGGAGAAGGAAGTCCTAGAGCAACTAGGGGCCAGGCATCCCCAGTCTTCATCATCATTTGCCTCAACCACCATCCCATGCCCATAATGAAAAACAAAGATGGATTTTTTGTTGTTGTTTTTCTTCCTCCTCCTACCCCCCTTCCACCCACTCAGAAGAGGGCAGTGAGGTGGGGGAGAGGGTTGGGGCAGTAGGGGGCTTGGAGAGGGTCTCACATTTCAAAACAGCAAAAAATCCAACACTTAAATGAGGTAGGTGTGGGTGCGGGGTCTCCTTGCCCGGCTTGCCTGGCTTGCCCTCCTGGGCAGCTGGGCGCCTCTTTCCCGTTCATGTTGCATTTGTCAAAGTGGAAAACAAGGAAACACAACCCATAGAGAGACAGAAACACAGAGGAGAAGAGGGAAACAGAGACAGATCAAGAGGGAAGGGGTTGGGGGTGAGGGTGGGGGCAGGACCCGGCAGGCAGGGCCAGGTGTGGGACCCGGCCTTTGGGATTGTCAAGCTTAGTCAAGTCTCTTTGCAGCCTTGAGTTGGGCCGGAGAGGTCAGTGGGAGCAGCAGGGCTGTGAGGCCCGGCCACACGTCCTCCTCCCCCCTCCCTGCTGCCTCCCAGATGCTTCTGGGTAGTTCCCGGCCCATATCCCCCTCAAACCTGAGATGCCCAATGGCTGCTTCTGTCTGGCCCCTCCTGGAGCTGGGGGCAGAGATGCCAGCCTGAGGGCCGGTGGCGGGGAAGAGGGTTGTCCCTGGTGCCCAGGGTGGGCTTGGCCTAGGGCCCTCTGCCCCAGCCTCCTGCTCCAGGGGCTCCGGTCAGCCGGCAGCCCCAGCCCTGGGTCCTGGCTCTGGCTGCTACCTCTCTTCCCCCTCATCCCTTTCAGGGAAGAGGTTGGGAGTGGGGGGACTCCCCTGCCTGGTAGCCTTAAAGCTTCTTAGTTCATCCACTTCCGACAATTCCAGGCTCCACAGTGGCAGGGGATCTTGTGCTGATCGTCCTCAAAATCAAACTGATAGTCATAGGTCAGCTGGAGAGAGAAGAGAGCAGAATCAGTGCTAGTCCCCCAGAGGAAGGTCTGATCTGAGAGGAGTGGCCTTAGAGCCCGGTTCCTAGGGAATGGCAGAGAAGGGAGAGAGCTGCTTTGTCCCTCAGGCTACTCTCTTACCTCCTCTCCTTTGGGGATTCGCCGGCTGGAGATGATGATGATTTTGTCCTCTTTGTCAAATGTTACAACTTCCGCCACACAGTTAGGGGCACAGGAATGGTTAATGTACCTGGATAGTGAAACAGAGTCCGGGATGTCAGGCAACTACGTTGGAACAATTTTGGTTCCTTGTTGGCTTGTTCCCAAAGTGCCACCTTCGGGGACCCCTAAATCCCGCCTTCATTCCTCTCTCACCTGGCAGGGCCTCCAGTCAACGTAGCATCGATCACATGTTCATTGTTTATTCGGAACATGTAAATGCCTCGGTTCTAGAAAGGCAGAGGTTGCCCAAGAAACAAGAAGATCAGAGAATAGCAGTGGTGGTGGCGGAATCACGTAGAAGATTCAGGCAGTGGCTTTTCTTGCACTTTCTTCATTTCCTCTGCCTGTCTCCTCCCCACAACAGATTTCCACCTGCTCTCCTGAGTCCAACCTTGTCCCCTCACTCCTTGGCCAAGTGTGGACCAAGCACCACAACGGCCCCTCTACCAACCCATACCTGCTCCTCATAGATCTTCTCCCGCCGGTTGGCCACCTCGTTGCGGATGATGGTGCCAATATACTCGATGACCATTGTGTGCTTTTCCAGGTCCTTGGCTGCATAGAGCCCCAGGCCCTGGATACGGGAGCGAGCCAGATACACATTGTTCTTCCACTCGGTGCGCAGTCGCCGGTACTGAGATGACTTGGAGTGCACAAACTGCTTGCTGTATGGGGTGTTGGTCTCGCCTGTGAAGGTGCTCTGATATGCCTTAGACATGCTGGTGCTGTTCAGGGTATGGGGCCTGGGAGGTGATACAGTCCATGACAACACAGCTCTCCCTCAGACCAAGTAGACACCACCCGCCTCCTCTGCCTCCTCCCTGGGATGTGCAACACGTGGTTAGAAGTGTGTGCTGCTGGCAAGCATCAGAAGTGCTGCCTTGGGAGTGGAGTGGAGGCAACTAGGTCATAGCTCTGGTGAGGCAGCAACTAGCTACAGGGACCCTTCTCACACACTGAGTACAGAGAGCCCAGGATGAGGGGTAGGGTGGGGGGGGGCACCAATTCCCCTACACTGAGCCTGCTCTTCCATCTCCCACTTCCTACCGCCCTTCTAACAAACCATACTCAAGGCTAGGCTCCTCTGGGAGATCTTCCCCAAGCAGCCCAAGCCTAGAATTTAAGCTGATGGTTTGCTTGAGTGTCCGAGACCTACCTCCTGCAAGCCCTGGAAGCCCTGAAAATGGGGGCCATGTCTACTAGCTGTGAAATCACAGTCTAAATGGTGGTATCCTTCCCTTTCTTCAGACTGTCCCCTTGTCTGACATAACATCAGGCTCTGTACAGACGGCTCAGTGCAGGGGAATGACTGCTGCCTGGTGGGATGCCTTTTCACCACCCTAGGGCACCAGTCAATTCTTGCCCATCCCAGAGCGGTGGTTTTCAAACGTTGTTGGTTCTTTTTGTTTTTATTTAGCAGAAATCTTTTCTTTTTCTTTAACAATATGGTGATTGAAACTCTAATACATAAACTAGATGACAATGGAGCTCTTCTGGCTGAATCCAATTTGGGGAAGGGGGAGTTATGCATGGGAGGGCCAAGTTCTGCCCATCAGCTTATGTGTTCCGGGACTTTTTGGAACACATGCACTCATAGTTTGAAAACCACCGTTGTAGAGCATTAAGGATCAGGGCTGATGAGGGGTAGAGGAGTCTCTGATGCTCTACGATAGCCTTAGAGCCACCGGAGGGCTTCGAGAAAGCCCTACTACCATAGATTCTTCCTCCCTCTGCCCAGGGACCAAGGTCGGGCTACTGTGGTAC